TCATCAGAGGTCTCAGCGGTACAGGGCTCTTCAGGACTGCCTCCGGCAGAGTAGACAGAGACAAAGAAGTCATTCAGTAACTGCCATCTCTGTATCTTCTGTCACCAGGGCACCCGTCCCGTTCATCAGTGGGCCTACATTGCTTCTGGTGTTAGTTTTACCTGCCATGTATTTGAAAAAGCTCTTTCTGCTGTCCTTGACCCCTCTCTCCAGCTTTAATTCCAAGGAGGCCTTAGTCATCCTAGCAGCTTTCCTACATCCTCTAGCAGCAGCCTTATATTCTTCCCAAGTGGCCAGCCCTTCCTTCCATGACCTGTAAACTCTCCTCTTCCACTTGAGCATACCCAGCAATTCCCTATTTAGCCACGCAGGTCTCCTGGCCCTCTTCCTTGACTTCCTACGTGTCGGGATGCTCCGATCTTGAGCTCGGAAAAAGCAGTCCTTGAACGTCAACCAACTATCTTGGGCCCCTTTCCCTTCAAGCAGCCTAGCCCACGGGATTTCCCCTAGCAATCGCTTGAAGAGGCCAAAGTTTGCCCTGCTAAAGTCCAGGGTTGCGATTCTACTTGCTATTCTACTGACCCTACCACACAAGATCCTGAATTCTACCATCTCGTGGTCGCTGCAACCAAGGCAGCCCTCAACCTTCACTGCTTCGACCAGACCCTCCTTGTTAGTGAGGATGAGATCCAGCAGCGCACCTCTCCTGGTTGGCTCATCCACCATTTGCATGAGGAAGTTATCATCCATACACTGGAGGAACCTCCTGGACTGCAGCTGGGTTGCCGAGTAGTCCTTCCAGCAAACATCAGGGAAGTTAAAATCCCCCACGACGACCACGGCCTGTGACTGTGAGGCCGTTCTCAGCTGCCTATAGCAGGCCTCGTCAACTTCCTCACCCTGATCCGGTGGCCTGTAACAGACCCCCACAACAGTATCGCCCCTGCCAGCCTGCCCCTTAATTCTCACCCACAGACTCTCAACTTTCAGCTAGACCATTCCGCTCAAATCCCTGTCCAGCCTGGCCTTAAATGTTTCCAGGGATGGGGCATCTACATCTGGGCAACTTGTTCAAGTATTTTGCAATCTTCATCATAAAACGTTTCTTTCTTACACCTAGTCTAAATCTATCCTCTTTCAGTTTAAAGTCATTACCTCTCATCCTACCAGTACACACCCTTGTAAAATATCCCTCTCTAGCTTTCTAGTAGGCCCCTTTATGTACTGGGAGGCTGCTTTAAGGGTTCCACTGAGCCTTCTCTTCTCTGGGCTGAACCCCCAGCTTTCTCAGCCTGTCTCCGTAGGAGAGGTGTTCCAGCCCTCTGACCATCTTGTGGTCACCACCAGACTCACTCAAACATGTCCATGTCTCTTTTATGCCAGAAGGTGTGTGGGGGAGACAGAGCTAAACCCAGTACTCTTCACGGGGTCAGGGTCTCACCAGAGATTTTAATTCTTAGTCTGAAAGTGGTGAGAAATTTTGCTGTTGATTTCACTTGTCTAGGATTTCAGCCTTGCTATTGTACCATCACCATATAGACAACACATCTTGGGCAAAGCATTGCAGCAAGGGTTAAGATTTAAATTTCATCTTGTCTCAATTACATATTTTGTGTAGGTCACTCCTCCTTCTGTATGATTTGTTTTCCTCATCACCTAGCCTTCGTGCTGTTTGTTCATCTCAGACATGTAGGCTTTAGAATAGTGTCTCACTTGCACATTGCATTACCCTGAGGTTTGAAAGTAATTGAAATATTTAGATGCTATTGCTATATGAATAATAGCAATTAAAATGCTACTCTTTGGAGAAATCCAAGCTGGCCTGCTGAATGGATTCAACTAATTCTTTATAAGAACAAGGGATATATATTTTTAAGTATGTTTAATTTTTAACACTGACTTTAAGCTGTTATTACAAGTCTATGCAAAAATGTATGTATTCTGAATTTCTACAAAAATAAGTTTGTTTTCTTTAAAAATAATGAGTTTATACTAGTTATTTTTGGTTATGTTTCAGACCAAAATAACACTATAACTAGCTGCAGAAAGTCTTGTGGCTCACACCACAGCAGGTTTTAAATCTTATGGAGTCAATGGTGCAGTTTTCATTTAGAAAAATAGATGAAAATAAAGAGCTTCCTAGATTTGTTTTCCCAGGCCAGGATAGAGGTGTGACCAGCCTAAAGTAGTTTCTGCAGTCAAACCCTTCTTTTGTTAGTAGAATAATGTTGAAATCTATCAAAACCACAGCATTTTTCTTCAAAAAGGTGCTCTTATTTTGTTCTGTCCACAGTGTATTAAGCAGCAACAAGAACTCCATTTGAGAATTATACCTCTAGAAAAATTAACTGGGGGGAAAAAACCTCCAGTAATTAATGCATATTCTACAAATGCAGTGCTGTCAATAAATTTCAATATGGTAAAATGTTTGAGAAATAAAATGTTTCTGAGGCCAGTATTTCCAGAGTAATCATTGGCTCAGACTTTATTCCATACCTTCTGCCATTCTGGCAAAAAAATAAAAGAGTTAATGTGATCAAGGTGCCACTGAAGTGAATTTTAAATCAAAATACTTCTCTGAGCTGGTGACAACAGTTCTGCTCTCTTTTTATTTAGACATCTTTAAAAATCCAGACTTCATGATGATCCTCCCAGAAAATGGGAAATATATTTCATAGTTGTTTAGAAATACTTGGTTTTCTACTCCTTCATACTGCACAGTAAGTCTCAGGGAACAGCAGTACATAAAGTTCATACTTGATTTTTCCTTCCTGCTGAGTTTCTCTATTGTCATCAATGTCACCACATCACATGTACAAACTGCTGCAGGTGGTAATCTGTTTTCCTTTATCTCTGTTTTAAAGCACCTTGCTCCTTCCTGGGCATTGTCAAATAAGCAATAAAAAGTTACAATAATTTCCATGGGAACAGAACTTTGTTGCTAAAGGAACACAATGGTGAACTTGTTTCTTCACTTTAAGGACCATTCAGAGCAGGTATTTTTTAAGAGCAATGTTCAGATGGACCTTGGGACAAATGAAAGCATTTAAGAAGATTTTGATTGAATCTGAATATCTTGTAGAAGGTAGACTCTAACCCTAGATTTCAGCATTCCCAGAAAGACCAAATTATTCCTAATTTTAGTATAAGTCTCATGTAAGATAATGTGAAATCCTGCCTTTTAGTTACGAGTTACTCAGCTAGCAGGTCAGTGGAAGAAAGGTGATCTGTGGTGTATAAGACAGAGAATCTGAACCAGAGAAGCCTGAAATGGTGAAAACAAAATTAAAGAGGATTAGACTTCGTATCCACCAAGAGAAGAACTGCCTGAATCAGGCAGATGTCATTCAAGCTCTTTCTCTCTGCTTAGTATTGCAGCCTAAGCAACAACAGAAATGGGGGAAAGGACAGAATTAGGGATTCTGGTGTCCGCTACTGTTTTTAGCCAAGCTCCCTAGCCAGTTTCACAAAAAATAATAGAAATTCCAAAAGATTCCTGTTGTCTCCCAAAAGCTAAGCGGACAGGTAGAGGAGAGAACAAGATGCTCCTGTCAACCTGTGTTTATTACACAGCAGCAGCCCACACAAGAAAGCAGCTTATAGCTCCCTGAAACTGGAAATGTTTTAATGGAGCATTTAGAGTTGAAGGGCACCAGAAAATTCAGTCCTGAGAAAAGGGAACACAGGAAATGTGTTTGTTAGCACCAGTTCCCAGAGAATTACTTGTTTTTCTTCTGTTGGTAACAGTGCCTTCTGAGAGCAAATATTTTACATTTTAATTTTTGCCTCTACCTTGAGAACTTCGCTTTCAGGTGAGTCCCACTCTTCAGCTGGTCAAAGCAAGCTGCCATGTTAATCTCTACAGAGACCAAAAGGATTTCTGGTGATGGCCAAGACATTTCAGGACTGGAGAGCTCCCAGACTCCTTTTTCGCAGGATCTGGTGGTTGATAACCACCTGTTGTGTCCCCATTCACAAAATCTGTCATTTCAAGTTAAGCAGATATGGTTTTTCCTGGCCAGTGATGGTGACAGCAATGAAGGTGACGGCAGGCCAGAAGTTCTACATGAAACCGGTGCTGCTTAGTGCTCCCAGGTAATTTTAAACATGAGGAAAAAAAGAAAGAATAAAGGGAACCAGAAGCATCCTATCCTACCCATCTTCTGGTGCCTCCAAAGACCAGAGTTCTTGCTCGGCAAGGGAGGCACAGGATGAATCCTCTCCTGGAGAAGATAGTCTGAGGCAAGAAAATATTTTCCCATTATGTCCATCAAAAATGAGGTTTCTCATGGACAGAAACCATTTATGATGGTGGGCTGAATGTGACAAATCAATGACTAATAAGATATCTAAGGGCAGAAACATTAATATGCTTAAAAGAAAAAACTTCATTTCTGCTAATAATTTTTCATTTATTTTTTGTAATGTCAGTTTCTGTTTTGGTTTGAATAATTTTTTTTTTAACTTTCTTGATTCAGCCCCAGATTATAAACTCTATTATTTGCTGAGCTCAACAGAATGTAGTTTATAAAGGGAATCTAAGTGAGTTATAGGCCTGTTGGTCCAGAAAAAATATGTTTACAGCCATCGCAGTATTTCACTTGGATAATGTCAAAACTGCAACATAAAAAATGAAACATGCATAGGAATATTATGCTAAAATTACAGTCTAGGAGTTAAAATGAAATAATGGAAAAACTGTTGAAAAGCAAAATTTTGCCATAATAAAATAAATTTCATTGATATTCGAAAAGGAAAGAAAAATTGCCTCCAATTATATACTGTCAAAGTTAACACAACTCCCAAGTGTTTCATACTTGATAAAACCACAGGTTTTGCTGTAAGATGAAGCGCTTTTTTTTTTATTTAATACTAGTGGAAGTTTATAACTACAATAGCACAATATTGACCTGATATGATCTGTGACAATCCAGCTGTATTAAAAAAATATTGAAGTGGGATTCAGGTTTTTTCTGTGCATCTTAGAAAGGAAGGGGAAATGAATACATATGAATATTTTACAGTGGCAAAAACCATTGGTGAAATCAAGTGGAAGCTGGCAACAGGACTATACTCTGAAGCAGATGGCCTGGGGCTGGGAGATTTGAGTGCCCTATTACAGGAAGAAGTGTGATTTCCTGCAGCCTTAATCTTCCTGGGGTAACCAACTGCACCTCTCCACAAACCTCCTCAGAAGATGATGGGAACTGAGTAACCGGGCACTCACCTGTACTTTAAAGTGCTCTATCTACCACCAGACTCTGGTCCTGGACAAAAAGGGTAGGACAAACTGGGAGGTAGAAGGGAGGAAGTGGCCTTGAGGATCATGCCCTATAATAAGAAGAGATGTGAGTTATCCCTCACCACTTGGTCCAGGGATAAGGGTTTAGCCTATGTGTTGTGGAAACGTTTGAGAGAACTGGGAGCCCCAGTCTTCTGTCCAATTTAACTGAGCTCATCCAACAGCTCCAAATTACTGGACTGGGAGAGAATGGGCTGGTGGGTCTCTGAAAGGAGACATACGTGCACACAGTAAATGCAAGTTGAATATAGAACAGAGAACAGTTTGTGATCACTTTGCTTCTTTGCTATGTGTTGCAATGACTGTCAACTGACATTGTAAACTTAATGAGGTGTTAAAAATCTTAAGACATAAACTTGCAACATGGAAATCCCAGCCATTTTCCCCTAGCTTTTCTGGGAAAGCAGATGGAGGTGATGAAGGCACTGAGCCCAGCTTCCCACACTTACCCAGGAAACTTAACCATCAGCAGTAGTCATGCAGCATTCAGTGAACTAGAGAAAGAAAAACAACATCTACCCTTGGGATCCCAAGCTCCCAAGCACTGCTTTGCCTTCTTTTCAGGGAGTATGTGGCACACAGATGTTAGAAATTATAGGGGAAATAAACTTGAGATTTTTCTCACAGGGTATCTGGATGCAGCATCTTCTCTAAGACAGCCCACCTAATGTGAGTGAGGAGAAGTTCAATCTGTCTTTGTGGATGTCATGGGTATGACTTCATTGACCAACGCTGGGAAAGGTGGGACTGGATTGCCAGGAATCACATTTGGTGCAGAAACATCAATAAAGTTGTGTGGTAAGAGCCTGTCTCTTCCTATGTCAGCTTCAGTCATGCTATTAAGGTGGTGGAGGTAAATAAAATTCACTAAAGACTTAGAAAATAGTGCAAAAAAAAAAAAAAAACACCAAAGAAAACATTTTGTAAATTGCATTTGCCACTGATCCATAAAAAATAACCAAACAACTCTGTGAGCCTACAGAAACAAATGTACAAAGGGATTTTGTTGTACTATCCATGTACAGGAAAGCAGTCACAGAACTGCAAGACTAGTAATGGGAGATAGAAATCTGGAAATAAGAAAAGGCAAAAAAAATGTGGCTCAGTTTTAATTGCATTGACTTTTTTACAAGACATCAACATATCAAATCACTCCTTTGTATTAGATGACATTTAGACAGGAGTCTGGAGGACTAGGCCTCCTCCTCCTCCTTTTTGTTTTGGGAGCAGACTCCAGCCCACTTGCCTTTGTGGATGTCTGGGGGCACAGGAACTAGGATGCTTCAGGCTCTTAGTGCTCACTGCAGTAAAACTTTGGGTGGCCACATGGTTCCAAACTACCCTTGTTGCACTGTTGCATATGTGGGAAACAGCATGTGGTACCTTGGTGCAGCAGGCAGTCAGGCTTTTGGACCTTGTGTAGTAGAGGAAAGATTGATGTGTATCAAGAGTGCACAGATGATTTTTGTGCAGTCCTTAGTGATGTGAAAAAGGCAGTCACTACAGGGGACAGTGCTGGTCAAAGCTCTGCAATGAAACAGTTAGGGCCAGAAGGCCCATGTTTGCTGCAGTAACATAGGCATGCAAAAGGTTCTTTGACACACCTGACCCTAAATGGTGGGTTTCTCTGTCCTCCTCACTCTACTCTTCACTTCTTAAGTGCTGAGGGGAAAGATCATGTTGATCCTCTACCTGTGTCCCATCAAAATTGTTTTTGGTCTAGTCTTGCATGTGTTCCTATCAGCATGAAGTGCAGTATGCAGCTACATTAAGCCAACCCCATCACTAAGAAGGTGTACCTCCAACGAGATTTTTTTTTTCTCTTGCCTTTCTTGATTATGAAGTTTGCCATCGGTTATAAACAGCTCCGAGCGCTATAAAATTGCTAATTCTATGTCACAGCTCTTTTGACTGATCCCATAGAATCTCTATCCAAGACATCTAGATTTAGAATCATGTAATCATAGAGTCATAGAATGCTTAGAGGTGGAAAGAACCTTAAAGATCATCCAGTTCCACCCCCCTTCCATGGGCAGGGACATCTCCCACTGGACCAGATTGCTCAAAGCCCCGTCCAACCTGGCCTTGAGTACTGCCAGGAATGCGGCATCCATGACTTCTCTGGGCAAACTGTTCCAGTGTCTCACCACCTTCATAGAGGGTGTGTATATATGCATATATGTGCACTTACGTACACACAGTTACTTGTGATTATCTTTTCAGATAAAGTCTTCCTGCTTATTTTTAATTTGTAACTAAATACTTTAGATTGCTTTTATGAAACACAGTTAATGTTCACAGAGCAGTACATGGAATTCAGGCATTTCTGCCTTGTAACTGTGGATCCTTACTAACACAAGCTCACAGTATCCTGACATCCGTAGCCTGATGTTCTGGGGCAATATTTCCCCCCAAAGTAAAATGCTATGCTTGCATTTAGTTGCATGGGCCACCAGAATCCTGTGTGGAAGAGAGTTTTCCAGTGACTTAACACAGCACTTAAACTCTGAGGTTCCCATGGGAGTTAGTGATGCACAGCCGACTGGAATTACAAACAACCTTTGAATAGAATGTCTTAGGTGGAACGTATGACTAAATATGAATACCTTTCCATAAAAATAATCATCTTGTCTCAAGCCCAATCTTCTTGCTTTCAGTCATTGCCAAGAAGTGAGATGCTTTGAGACCGCACACTGGCTTTGAAAGGATGCCTTTGACATTTGTTGGATTTGGTTTGATTGGTGATCTTTTTAGTTACGAAAAAAGGAAGAAAGTTAAGAATTGGAATGTCAAAAGCTCTGGGCAGCAAATGTAACTGAGGGGTTTTCTTAAATGCAGGCTGAAACCTGAAAACAAAGTTGGAATCAACATTTAACCAGCAGGGATTAAGTCAAACCATTTCTGTGCCATTTCACTTCCAACTAGTGTGATTGACACAGTCTTTCTGTTTATATTCTTTAGCTGAACTTCTGGGATGCCGATCTTAGAGAAACCACTTAAACCACATTTCTCATCCGCTTGGGTTCTAAACAGCTCCTAGGATTAAATGACAGGCTTGTTTTCTACTAATTGCTCCTTTGCCTGTCATGTAATTTGCCCTATATATTGTACAAGTCCTTCAGTATTTGTCTAAAATCCTGTTTTCCCTCTCTCTGTTAATCTATCTTTTGTTTTTTCTCACCATTCATTGCTTCAGAATGCATGCCTATTTCCCTGCCTCTGTCTGGTTTATGAGTGTTGCTCATGCAGTGCTTTTTTTTTTAATACATCTTTTCTCAAAGCCTCTTTATTATGTGATATTTTTTAAATATCATCTTTTGAATACACTTTATTTGTAATTTATTACTTTTTGGCTCTCCTACTCTCTTACCTTTTCCATTTGTAGATATTTATTTCCCTTGATTCAGTATTTACAGCTCAGTACATTTTCTGTTCCCTGGACCTTCCTGTGTTCCCCTTCTCTGTGCTCATGCTTTTGGTCTCTTTCTTCAGTCATTCTATTTTTGCTTTAAGATAATTTCTCAGTAAAGTCTCTTGGTCCTTCTGTCACTAACCTTTTCAGACTCCATTGTATTTAAGAGATCACTATTTTTGTGGTACATTATAATAAAGATGACTTAGTTCATGTTTATTTTGCAGCCACCAAAGAGATATTGCTCACCATGCAATAGCAAAAGTAGAAAGAAATCTTACAGATTTTATTGCAAAACAGAAGCAGAATATCAAAAAGATCCTCATTTCAGTCATGGTTTCATAGTAGTGTTTAGCTTCTTATCACCATCAGGACATGTACCACCTAATAGCTTTATTCTGATATTTCTGTATTTTCTCAGTGGTAAAGGCATAGAAAATGCTAAAAGAAAAAGTCGGCCCAGATTCTGTGGTAGGAAGTGAATAAAGAGAGTTTTTATTAATTGTCATCGGGTGCTTGCTTGCCATCTCGCTCTCTCTTCCTTTTCCACAGAGAGTAGTGGTGTTTGTATGGAATATCCACACAGATAAGAGTATTCCTCTGGCTGAAACATGAAAAGTCTGTACTGTTGCCAATGAAAATCCTTGGTGATGGTGAAGGCATATTTTTGTGAGCCTACATTCTGCTCTCATTTCAGACAGATAAAACCTGTGCTCCTGAAAGTCAAATGACAGGTAATCTGTGCTTCCGCAAGGAGGTTGCATGATGATCCACCTGAGTTTGCAGGAGTTTTGTGCAAAAACTTGGGACTAATCCTGGAACAAATCTGCAGAAACCAAACAAGTTGTTTGAGATACACATCAGAGCAGGTAAGGAATAGAAGCTTCCTGTTTTTCCAGATCTCAAAAGCAATCTTGCCCTCCTTTGGAATGGTATTATACCACTTCTTAGTCGTAAAACCGAATTATATTAAGTTCCTTCTCTAGTTTTGGTTTGGGCTTTCCATTTTTCACATCCTTAGTTTGAAATATTTTTCTAATATATTCATATTTATTTCCAGGCATCCAGCCTACTTTTATTCTGGCTTTTGCATCTTTTTTTCCTTCTCTGTTTTAGTCCAACGTAAACGATTCCCTTTCAGCACACACAGTACCCTGCCATTTATTTAAGATTGGAAGAAGGCAGGAAAACAGTTTTCACATGCAATTTCTAGGACATGTCCAATTTTGTGGCATGTTTTGGGCAGTCCCTAGATAAAAGACCTGTCATGGTCATCGGCAAAATAAGTTAGTGTGTGTGGCTAACAGAACTTGTCTACGGATCAAAACACTTTGGTCTAATCATAGTCATATTTTAAGAGTTACTTACTAGCAGGTTTTTATGTACTATTTAATTGTATTTGAAAACAAGTGGTGCAGTGTTGCATTCAAGTAGTTTTATAGTCAACTTTTACATTACCTAAATTTGCTTTTCTAGGTATGGGGCCAGCCTGGCTCTTTGGAAATCACCAGCACAGAAAACATGGCAAAGAAAAAGAGAGCTCTTTTGATGTTCTTTGTTTCCAAGAAAGAAAAGCACATTGTTGTTTGATAGAAATGCATGTACTCATTTTCATGGTCAACCTAAGTTTTACAGCCTGGTGTTGGATACTTCCCTGTTTTTCTGGGGGGGGGGGGGAGGGGATGTATTTTTTATTTTAAAAATGTATAGATGGTTTATTCGTTAGGGCAAATTAGCTGCTGCTTTGCAGTGTGAGTTATCACACTAAAGCCAGTGGGTTTCTCAAGCTTATGTCAGGAAGGATATTAGTTCTGTTTTTATATACCTCCCATTACAGTGGGGCCCTGGCCCACAGATATGGTTCTGAGGCTCTGTAATAAAACACAAATATAATAGTTAGTAATGCTTTGGCTCCTTGGGTGGAACATCTGTCTGACCTGCACTGTAACCGAATCCGGCTTTCTTCTTTAGAATAATACCAAGATTGAAATTTTGTCCCTATTATTTGTTACAAAAGTAGGTTGTACCCACATATTTTCTTGAGGCGTTAAAGCCTTTAGTATCAAGAAAGAATTCTATTTTCAGAGTTGTCTTTATTGTAGTACATGAAAATAACACATGAAGTTTTTAGGGTCCCAATCCCTCTTTGAGCTGGATTTGCAAGGTGGGTATTTCGGTATCTATTCCCCTGCAGGGGTTCAGAAGTGAAAGTTTGGTATGCCAGCTCTGTCTGAAGTGCTTCAGGGCATTTTGGCATCCCAGCTGTGATCTGAGCCCACATAAGACAGAACATGGAGTTCTGGCTGGGTAGGAATAAAATGGAAAACACTCAAGAGAAGAAATGATGTTTATACTTTGCCCCTGTGTGTGGCATCTTATCCAAGATGTCAGAAAGTTGATATCCTACATGCAGAGTACTTCATGAGTGAGCAGACACTTCCAGGATGTGGCTTACAGAAGAGGCTGTCTATTGCACATTTGCTAAGCAGGCGAAGGACTCCCTTGGCAGGTAGGAGACTGAGAGGATTCAAAGATGTGGTGACACTCAAGAGAGTACCCTGGTCCCGAAGGCAGATCCTAACCCCTTCCTGGAACATCTGGAGTTGTGAGGATGCTCTCACCTCTCCCCTCCTTATGGAATTGGGCCAGTGTTGATGAGCCAAAGCAGGTCCCTATGTGGCAAGCTGTGGCATTAGCAGGAGGGTGTGGTAAATTAAATTAATGAAAAGTTGAACAGCATCAATTGACAGGAATGGTAACACCTCTTCCCAGCTCCCTGCTCCCTCCACCTTGGTAGCATACCCTCTGGCTCTGTAATTAATGAGCTCATGAAGGACTGAGATGTGGGTTTTGATCCTAGTTACAGATATCTCACAGCTCTAATTAAAGATTAGAAATGTAGTCTTCCTCTCCCCCTGTTGTGTTGGTGCCACTGCCGGACTTGGCTCAGCAGGAAGAGTACTGGTTTGTGATGCTGCCTTGCATTGCTTTGTCCTGAAAAGACGCTCAGCACTGCCAGTACAGAGGCACTTCTGGAGACACTCCAGTGCAGGACTCTAAATGCTCAACATATGCTGGTATCAAAGAAACAGAAAAATAGTTATCTACCAGGACTACAAAAAGCTGCGTAATGCTTTTGTAAGTGGATGGTTTTAGCATGAGTACCTAACTTGCTAAGTCAGGTCACAGGTCTCCTCCTTAAATCCTTCTGGTCCTGTGCTAATTTTTTTTCCAAAGGGCCTCAAGCCTGGCTCACAGACTTCTCGGTGCCCTTGGAAATCTGGCTATGGGTATTTCCTGTGAGCTCCTAACTGTAAGACTCCTACCACATAGGTATTTAAATTTTGGAGATTTTTATGAGTCCTGTCAAATTTCTCCGCTCTTCTCCTCCTTCCTGCCTCTTATTTTGGTAGGTAAAGCAATTTTTATACCTGAGGAACTCAAAATGTTTTTGCATCTTTCTTGTGTTATATTTCCTTCTCTAAACTCCACTAGAGCTGCTCAAATGTACTGGCAATGATGTCCGTATGATTGCTTTTCTCCATTTTAATACATTTAGCAGACCAAAGATTTTAGCTGTTATGTCAGTTTGCCGTGCCAGTGACTTTAATATTTTTAGCTCCCGGTGTAAGGAATGTGTATGACTGAGGATGCTTAAGAAAGTTCGAGGCTCTCTTTGGCAAGAGCACTGAAGACTAAAATTCCTATTATAATACCTTAGCTGAGAAGCAAAATAAACTTAATTCATCTGTATGTGACACCCCCACAACCCTCACCCCCAGCAGGTGGACAAAAACTGAAGAGAAGACTTGGCTGGGAATCTAAGGGAGTGTGTACATGTACGTCAGCTGATGCTGGCATAGGGCAGTAACAATTTTTCTGTGCTCCTGATTCCATTCCCCCTTTCTTCTTCCTTCTCCCACTACAGCAGTTTGATGAAGGTGTACTTTTAGAAAGATAATAAAGATAATTCACTTTCTTTTTTTTTGCTACTGCTAAGCATAGTGCAACTGAACACCCTTCTGGGTCTTGGGCCTTAGGACAAAGCCGTAGTCTAGTCCTTACTGATAGAGCCAACTCTGTCTGTTTGTTTGTTTTAAAAGCATTTGCTACAGTTGTGTCATGAAAGATTGCATAAACAATTCATTGAAAGCAGCATAAACATGCTTAATGATCTATTAGCAAAGACAGTTGGGAAAGCTGATGGTGGGAGAAAGGCAGTTCAGTTGGTGCTGCAGCTGCATTTAGTATCTTCCTTAAAACAGCCTGAAAATGAAACTCTTCAGTTTCTGTCCTAGCAGAGAAGAGCAGTTCATAGCATCATAGGGTAATGCAAGCATGAATGAATATCAGGAGGTCTCTAGTCCAGCTTCCTGATCAAAGCAGGGTCAGCTATAAAATTCTGAAAGGTGATGAAAGAAGAATCAAAGATAAAAGAATTGAGTAGAGTTCAGACATTCAGATAAAAGGATCAAATCTCAAAAAAGAAAAAATACAGGGGTATAAACAGGGAAGCAACAAAGTAGTTAGTAATATATTGGCACAACAGAGAGTCATAGCTCGCAGAGGCGTTGATCCAAAGCCTATTACAATCTGCTGAAAGATTTGCAGCAAAGTGACTGAGCTATGGATCAGGTCCACAGATTGATAGTTCATGGAAAGACAAAGGAGTGGCTTGTAGTGCAGTTTGGCAATAAGAATGCATTGGTAGGCTTGGTAGGTTTTCAGCAGCATTGCTACATGTTAGGGAGAATCTAATCTTGGTTCTCATTACAGGCATGTGGAAGGGCACAAAACAGAGGTCTTTCCCCTGTCTGGCAGGGAAAGAGCCAGCTCTGAGTCTCTGTAGCTGTGGTGTGCATCACAGTCATTCTCTTCTGGGGAGTCCAGCAATCCTTTGAATTTCACAAGATTAGCCCATTCTTCCAGCCTGTCTAGCTCTGAATGGTAGCCGTGTTCTTGAGCATATTGTCTGGTCCCCCTACGTTGGTGTCAACTGCAAATTTGATGAAATTGCACTCTGTCACCTCCTTCAGATTACTGAGGATGTTAAACAAGACAAGTTCCAGTATAGACCCCTGCAATGCTGGCTTGTCACTGTCCACCAGGTAGAGTACAACCCATTAACCACTAACCTGTGAAATCAATTGTCAAACCTGTTTTTTACTCACTGTTTTTCCACCTATTGAGACCTTAATGTCATAACTCGGTACAAGATTATTTTGGGAGACTATCTTGCGTTCAGCAGTAGCAGTTATTTTTCTCCTTCTTCGTAGCTGGTGCAGTGCTGTGGTTTTTACTTTCAGCCTGGGAACAGCGCTGATAACACCAATGTTTTTAGTTGCTTCTTAGTAATGTTTACTCTGACCAGGGACTTTGTGAGTCTCATGCTCTGCCAGGGAGGAAGGGAAGCCAGGAGGAAGCAGAGATAGGACACCTGACCCAAACTAGTCAAAGAGGTATTCCATACCACAGCACATCATGACTACTATATAAACTGGGGGCAGTTAACCGGAAGGGCTAGATGACTGCTTGGTTGGGCTGGGTATCGGTAGGCGGGTGGTGAGTGGTTGTATTCTCTCCCCTTGTTATTTCCCTTATCATTATTATTATTGGTGGCAGCAGCAGTGGTTTGTGTTATACCTTAGTTACTGGGCTGTTCTTATCTCAACCCGTGGGAGTTACATTCTTTTGATTCGCCTCCCAGTCCCTCCAGGAGCAGGGGAGAGGAAGGGGGAGAGTGAGAGAGCGGCTGCGTGGCTGACTGAGTTTAAACCACGACAGAGGCAATGTCAAAAGCCTCGTTGGAGTCAAAGTAAACGACACTCACTTTTTTCCTGTCAGCTAGACATCCAGGAAATTTATCATAGAAGGATAACAGATCAGTCAAGTGTGATTTACTTCTGGTAAATCCATGCTGGCAATCTGCTTTTGCTTCTCCATGTGTCCAGGACCAGTATTTTGTCTGGACCAGGTTTTTGTCTGTAATCCCTGACTTGGTCCTCATACTGTGCTGTTAGCAGCTCTCCTCTCTGAACGCTTTCACGTAGCACAGAGGCCTGGGAAAACTTGTTGGGCTATGACATCTTTATACGCAAGCAAAAAAAGTTATTAAGTACTCCACTTGTCTGCTATCACTCAACCACTGCTCTGTTTAGCAGCCTCTTCACATTTACCTTGTTCAGCCTTTTAGTACCAATCTGGTTGCAGAAGCTCTTTTTTGTGCCCTTGACATTCCTTGAAAGTCTTGACTGCAGCTGACCTTTGACTTTTGTGACACCCTCTCTGTGTGCCTTATGCGGCAATGTATCCAATTTCCTCCTTAATATCCTAGCCATATTTTCCCTTTATGTTGCCTTTTTGCGTTGGAGCTATCATGACTTTCCTGCTAAGTCTTATCCTGGTAAGTCTGGTTTCCTAAGGATTGTGACGAACTGCTGTTTAAAGACCTGCTAGCATCTCTGATCAGCTCATCCTTTTTAGTGAACCTAACTGTGAACTACCCTTAGTTGCCCATCTTGTACCTGAGGCAAGAAGTTATCTCCTTCCACAAGCCCCACTGTATCATCTTTCCAGCAGCTGTCAGGAAGGTTAAATTTCACTTTGAGATCCACGGTCTATGATCCAGAGATTTCCATACAATTGAATTACTGCAATGATAGAAATACAGTGCTGACCAATGTGATGTTAGTGCAGATTGCTTCAGCTATAAAACTGTAAATAATCTTAGGATCATAGGATCATTGAAGATCAAGCACAAAAGGACCTCAGGTACCATTGCCTCCATCAAGGGCACCTGTGAAATCAGACCAGATTGTTCAGGTCTTTACCTGTACGGGTTTTGAAAACGTCCAAGGGTGAAGAGTGCACAGCATCTCTGGGCAATCTATTCCCATACTTGACTGTCCTCACCTTCTTATGGTTAACAGTAAACAAGCAAAAAAAAGAGTTAGAAGAAATGGGTATGTCCATCATCATTTTGTGGGTGGCAATTTAATGCATCCACTAGCAAATATTCATAAACTTCTTTTAATAACTAAGAGATCATGAAAGAAATTATAAACCATTCTGTGACATAGCAATTGAAAGACAAGTACTATTGTCTTCAAAAATTAGTCTTCATTTTAAGATGTCATCAGAAGAATTTTAGTGTGTCAGCAGCTTCTTTTCAGAGGCTCCCTCCATCAGATCTGCAGTGAGTATGGTCATTGCAATACTGCACTATATAATAAGTATTAAGAAATTTTTAAATTCAGCCTTATTTTGCTCCTGTGGTTTGAGGTTACATTGCCACAGACTGAGGGAGGCACAACATTGTAAAACAGAACATTATCTCCTATCGTATCCAAGGCATATGTCTTACAGTGTCACCACAGAAATTTTGTAGAGTAACAGAATGATGTTGCATTGCCATCATATTAGTACCAGTAGCACTCTGACATAATTTTATACCCTCCTTTTCCCACCAGTGTTTCAAGTCTGGTATGGAGCAATTTGGGACATACTTCGGTAATGATGTAGGTTTATAAAGACCATAACATGGATGATTCATGCAAAACTTTTTTTCCTCTCTTTTTTCCTTATTTCTGGACAACTTCTGGCAAAACTTCCAAAACCAACCACTAATATAACATAAATATAGAGGATACTTTTCTATTTCTAGAGGTAAATGTACTTGAAATGGGGCTTTATTTTAGCACTTTAAGGGCTGCCAGCATACAGTCATGTCCTACCATCTGGAGTCATACTCACTTGGAAAGCAAAGTAGTGTCCATTTGCAGTCGTGACTATTTGAGCTAGTTCCTACTTCCCGTCCCCCTCCCCAAGATGTTTTGGTTTTGTTTCTAACAATGGCCATTTTAGCTCCAAGAAAGGTATGCATTTCTAACAAGAATAAGATCCAAGAAGAGACCTCACCCTGAAATGACTGAAAGTGCTATGTGAAAGAAGCGGCGACCCTCCTTATAGTGAGACTCTATTAAGATGAGAGAGGTTTGGCAAGGCTGAGGGATAGGCTGAACAGCTTCCTCTGCATGAGGAATTTACCCCTTTTAGTAGGGAATAGGTAAACGTTCTCCCTGGACTAGTGCAAACACATGACATACCTCTGCACCACTGAAAAACAATCAGACATGAAGTTGTGACGTGTTCATGAGGATATGCTGTAGCAGAGGAGCTTTCAAAAAGACTCTGGTTCTTTTTCCTGTGTTCTTCAGCCTGGCCCTGCCTCTGCTTCTGAGCTTATCTTTTGGGAAGATGAACAAGTTGGAGAGGGCAGGTGAGAGAAGGCATTGCACACTAATCCAAAGAGGTGTGCTGGGCCAGGTGCTTTCCCTTGGGCAATGTGTACTTGACTGAAGCTGTACCATTTCTTTGCTGCTCCAGAGACCAGAGGCTGCAAACTGCACCACTATAACCAACAGTAAGAGAGAAGAGTGTCTGGGATGTGTCAGCTGCATCTGTGCCCACCATTGAAGAGACTGATGGGCAACAAAGGAGCTGAAGAAAGTCTGGCAGAGAACCAGGAACTTTTCCATCCTACAATCCAAACAGATATCCCAAATATCCTGCTGCTGGCCTCTCTGAGACACTGGTGTTTTTGAACTTCTGAACTCTTCATACGGAGAGGTGAACTGTGAAATATTTGAAACAGGGAGCTCTATCAGGCTTTCCCACATTCCAGCAGATGCCTTTTTTTGGTGGGCAGTTGCCTTGGTTTAAACCCAGCCAGACAGCTTGTGCACTCACTCCCAGTGAGTGGTGCCGGGCTGGAAGCAGTTGAGGCCCATGTCCCCTCACCGGGAGCTCCCCCCCTTCCCTGCTCCCGGAGGGATGGGGAGGAGAATCAAAAGAATGCAACTCCCATGGGCTGAGATAAGAACAGTCTAGCAACCAATGTACAACACAAATCACCACCGCTACCACCACTAACAACAATGATAACAGATAATAACAAGGGAAAAGAGTACAATACCACCCACCAAACAACGAGTCCGACCCAGAAGACTCCCTGTCCTTCCGGGTCATTCCCAGTTACATCCTGGGCATGACGTGCTGTGGTATGGAATACCTCTTTGGTCAGTTTGGGTCAGGTGTCCTGTCTCTGCTTCCTCCCGGCTTCCCCTCCTCCCTGGCAGAGCATGAGGCTCACAAAGTCCTTGGCCAAACCAAAACATCATTTTTTTCAGCTCTGTTCCCAGCCCGAAAGTCAAAACACAGCACTGCACCAGCTCCAAGAAAGAGAAAAATGACTGCTACTGCTAAACCCAGGACAGCAGTAAAGGCCTTCACTCTGCTTCTGTGTGGCTTGTAACTGATTTTTTTACAGATATAAATCAGAAATGAAGTGGCTCAGGCTTCTAGGATATTTAAGTTCTTTCTATCAAAAATTAATCAGAACACTGATTCTCAAGTATCAGATGTATGCTTTTTCTGTGTAGATTTTTGTGAATATTGGCTAAAATATGTTCTATTCCAGTTTAGATTCTCACAAATAGGTTTTCACTGCAGACCTGGAACTGAACATAAATCCAGGCCCTGATCACCAAGCCACCATCTGCTCTTTATTTAAGTTACTTCAAAACCAAATGCTTCTCCCATGTTGCCTGCAGTATGTGAGCTGATTAACATAAGTAAATCAGTTAATAAATTTGCAAGTACCATCAGGATATGCCTGTGTAAAAAAACTCGTGTACATAGTTCTTCTGACATAAATTTTATTCAGTTTCTTGCTGTCCCTCCCCTTACTTATTGGTGGCACCTGGCACATCCCACATGGCAGAGGTCTACTTTGTCACAAATGTCAAAGCACTGAACTAGTAATGAGCCACTGCACCTCCAATGAGACGCTTGCATTTTGCCTTCTGTTAATTTCAGTAGGAGCATCATCCCCCGCAAACACCCCAAAAGCAAGAGGCAGACTCCTTCAGAAGGCTATTTAGTTTCTAGGGAAGCTGAGTTGTCATCTGATAACCCTAATTTTAATGTGAGGTTCTTTAGAGAGAATCTGTGTTGACTTGAATCTTAATTTAGGATCCTTTGGTTAGATGAAATGAACCCGAGCTCTTGATAGGACCTAAGTATGTAAGACTTTGAGGATTTGAGCCTAATCTCTTTGTAAAAGAGAAAGTCAAATCTTTCCTATTTGGTCTTTAATGCCAGACAAATTTTTGATTGCTATTTAAAAATAGTAATCTCTGATAATGAATCATTTGTAGAAGATATTACTTGCCTCTAGTTTTCTTTTAAAAGAGCTAGAGATAAGAGAAAAACTGGATTATAATATTTTTATAATACAATCTTTTTTTTTATTGGATTTTTTTTTAAGCAAACAAATCCAGAAAGTCTGATGTTCCGTTTTAATTTGAAATGCATGTACTAATGGAATTAGGTACAAATCAGAGGTTTAACATCTTGAATTTATTAACATTTTTGCATTCCTTTTTACTTACTTAAGTGCCTTTTTGGCTAACCATGTAGAACTGAAATGGTGAATTAGTAACTACACAGAGATCTGGAGTATGGTACACGATTTCCCGTTATCAGATAAGAAAACCAAATCCACAGAATGAGTATAGTTTTTGCAAAGAGAGAGTTGTTTTTACAAAAACGCCTGTTTTGACCTGCTGGTTTGGCAGATAACCATTCATTTAAAACAAAAGATAGATGAAACAGCTTCTCTTTAATCTTGGTGTAACATCTAAAACAGCTGTCGCTATGGGAAATGTATTTCCTGTGCAACTCTCCTGAATATTACATAGTGATCCTAGTCCTTGCCTTATGCACACATTCAGAAAAGAGAAAGGTGGTGGGATTTTGTGTGTCCTTCCTTTCTGCCCTCTGCTGTATTTGATCTGTTCAGCCTGCAAATGTACTGCTTATTTCCATTGCATTTCACTCTATAGAACATGAGACATCTTTTAATAAGCCACTTTCTTGCTATCTTATGAATATTCAGATTACATTTGAAATCACTAGGTGAAACGAAAAGCAAGTTAAATACCAGTACCCACTTGGTTGAGCTGTCTTGCTATTGTTATATTTCTACAGAAATGCCAGCGAAATTTCCCAGGTGTGCTTTCCACATCTCTCATGTGACATCAAAATAAAACCTTTGCATTGAAATAATGCGTACAAATATACTGGTGTTTATCAGGGAAAAAAAAACCCCAAACCACGCATGCTGTAAGTTCATCCAAAAGAAACTACATTAAGATCCGGTGTGAGACAGCATTTTGGATGAGCTCTAAGCAACTTTTCATCAGCATGGTTCTCTGAAGAGAAACACTTTCCAGTGTTGCTCCTCTTTTATAAATGAGCTAACTTCAGACGTTACCAAGCACCCAAACAACTGGGCTGTTTCAGACTTGTAGTACATTAATAAATGATGATGTTTATGAAAGATATTGCAGACATTTTCCAGGGCTGCACAAAGCCCAAAAAAAGAGAAATCCAAAAGAAGTCTCTAAGGTCTTTTGTTGTTTTTTTGGGGGGGGAGGGCAAGGGCATACAAGCTTAATGCAGGAAGTCTACTATGAGTTGAAAGGTCGCTGCCGACTGCCTGTGATCTTGGTGCTAGAGAAAGGGCAGATGTCCTCAGAGCGAGCACGCCGGCTGCCTAAGCTGGCAGCCCTGTGTTTGTTTATTTGTTGTGGCAGTTTCTTCAACAGTAGCTCAGCAGAAGGTTGCTAAATGCAAATATAATTAGAAATGTCTGAAAATCCTTCACTGTGGAGCTTAAGCAGCAGAGGGAATGAGTAAGCAGATCCAGAGGAACAGGCTGTGTATCTCTTCAACGGACTCCTGTCAGAGAAGGTGATACAAATCCTCTCACCTTTTGTTTAAAGTCTCATCACGCAGCTTTGAGGAAGATTTCAGATCACTCATTATGTTTAATGAATGGGATTGCTTATGTATGAAGTCATCAAAATGTTGTCACACCTCACAATTACTGTAATAGGGCCTCTGTGGTGGAAATGAAGTATGAATGCATGAAGAAATCAAACAGCAGGAAACAGGTATGTGTGCATGCACACCTACACTCTTGGCACTACCTGTAGTTTTCTATCTTGCTCAGTGACATCTTTCTTCTGTGTGCTGTGGCTTACTGCCCTCAGTGCCCTCGAGTGTGCAGAGACAGACAAACCCCTAAGGAGCAGGTATGTCTGCAGGTCGATCTCACACATTTCTGGTGACCACCAAGTGCCTTGGAGCTTCCCTGTTGCTCTCCCAGCCTTCTGTGGGGCTATGTGCTTTGCTGTATGGTCTGCAGCAACCATATCACCCGTTTCTCAGGAGATAGTTTGGTATATAGTCGTGTTCTAGCAGGTTCTGATACTCCTCTGACAGGCTTTAAGTGGGGATTTCAGAGGGCTTTAAAGTGCTTTCAACGGCCTTTACTTTGTCTTTCTCTAGAAGCCCAGCTATACAGCATGTCAACATTGTTGGTAGCTTTGGGTTCTTCCTCAACGACTCTATGGACAACTGGCTGAAATCAGAGCTAGAGAGGGTGTACACATACCAGCACCATTGCTGTGAAATGGAATATCAGTGTTTGTCAAACACTCATGCAAGGGATGTGCAGAATATGAGTTAGGCAGACATGATAAAACAGCTCAAGCTGTTGGATTGGCAACTATGCAGTTTCCAGGAATCCGGCTTATAGAGAGAACCAATATTCCTGTCCTTGCAAGCAGCATCTATTCTAAGTGTTGTACTTGCTCTTCACTCCAATTTTGCAGATGACCAAAGAATGAAGATTTTAAAAGGCAGAAGAGAGAATTTATCATCAATTATATAGCATGTATGAAATATATGTATTTTCAAGTTGTTAACAATTTACATGAAGATCTTTGCTTTACACGTGTTCAGGATATTGTCTGTGGAGTCATTAAAAGAAGAAAAGTTCTAGACTGAGTGATGCATAAAAAGCATGTAATATAAATTCTTTTGTGGTGTTCACTGTCCAGAAAACAATCCACTCAGTATGCAAGACATATATCTTGAAGAGAAGGGAGAGGAGAAGCAGTGGAAGGCAGCAGTCATCTGTAATCTTGTAAGACAGCAAACACATCACAGGTGACAATTTGTCAATAAGCCCAAATGCAAATAGAGGAAAAAAACCACTAAGGCTATCACAATATCAGAAAACAGAGGGCTAGAGGATGCATAGCTTTAAGTAATGCAGTTTATGTGAAATGGGAAAGTAGAAAACAATTGCCTGAACTGAGACATGTGCTCTTTTAATTCTGTTCCTTCTCTTGATAAAAATATCAGGCTAAATTAAGCTCTGATGTAACTGCCACAGTCAATGGAGTTACACTGAGGATAAATTGCTGCCATAAATCATCAAAATCAATGACAATTGTGTCTTCATGCCAGAAATCAATCTGGTCCATTACAACAACAATTTTTTTGACACCAAAGCTAAATTTAATTTGTTTTCTATACAACAAAATAAGCTTTGATATGTAAAGAAGTGCCCATGTCCTGGCAAAAATGCCTCCAAGCCTTAATTTACCAGCTACGTGTATGAGAGGGTACAGCGTCCCCTTTCTGCCATTCACTTTCCCTTCCTGTGTGCCTGGTTCCATACCACCCTCCTGCATGTGCTTGAAAGGCAGGGTTTTTGGAGTGCATGGAGGCAGTTGTGAGATAAGGAAACATGCACGCTGTACTGTGCCTCATACCCTGTTCTTGC